TTTTTCCTTCTAAGTGTGAAGTCATGATTGGCCAACACTTCAAATCTCAGCACTACATGAATATACAGCATCTTGGCCCGGCTTGCTTTTAATATGGCTTCTTTCATGTAATTCAGGGATGCCAAGCTTTTGTATGAGATTGTGCGTAGTAATGCAAAGTACTTAACACTTTATTCTTCTGATATTTTTTATTTAACAGAAAAGGTGAGTCCTTGTCTAATGCTCTGCAGCCTGCCGTGTTCCAATTCCAAACATGCTAATGCGCCTTCACACGATTATGCACAGTTGGTTGTGGACCTCCATACGAGTAGTCCTGAGGCGTGCCGAGGATTAGCACTAGGAATGGACTTCCGGCCACATGTTTACCATCCCATTTCACATCAACCTGCGAAAGCAAGACTCAGAGAGAATATGATGTGCTTTTTCCAGTGTTACTAAGTAATAAAAAACGTAAACTTTACATTTGTACAGGTAAAATTTCAAATCACCCTTTTTAAACGTCCTTTCTTCCTCGATTCAATCATCATACACTACTCTGAAAGACCTAATATTTTTGTTGGATGCGCTTTTTGGGTTGTTTTGGATGGCGCGCATACGAAATTTCTTCTTCTTTTTTTCAAGTGGATCACATCCTGAGAGGATATTCTAAGAAACATGCACTAAATAGCAACTCAAAGAAGAAGATACGCATTCGATATGCTGTTTTATTTCCACTGATATAGAAAACTACCTCAAAGACAGGGATTTCATAAATTAACTTATGTATACAAAATAACTGTCAGCAATGAAAGCGTATCAAGCAGAAGTTTCACTTACACTCAACTAAACCTACTATCGGTAGAGTTTTCTTCTGTCGTCTTGCCTGATAGCAAAGCAGGAAAATAGAATTATATAGAACTTTAATAGTAAAATATATCACTCAAGAAGAAAAAACAGCTCTGAAATATTCAAAAAACAATAAGAGACTCATAGTATGTCGATGACAGCATAGCGATTAGCAAATATACTAGTAATCGAACAAAATAAGCTTACTAAATGTATAAACATAAGAAAATAATAATGAACAACAAAATTATGTCATCAGATACGAAAGAGAAGGACAAGAAGAGAAAGAAAGAGGAGAAGTGAACGAAGTGGCCAAGTGAGGAAACAAAAAATGGAAAAAGAAATTGAACACACATACAACATATAAGAGAAGTTCATACCACGCTAAATGATGCAATTGAATATATATCTGAGCATTCAATGTTATTCGGCAGATTTGTAACTCATTCAGCAAGATTATCACTTAAGTAGCGGTGATTTGAGCCATTTTCATATAGAGGGCCTTGACGAGGCTATTCACCTCAACCTTAACGATAAGGCTTGAGTGGGGGGGATCCACTATATCCACTATCTGGTTAACTTACATTACATGCTAGACAAGCATCCTCAACACTCTACGTCAAAGCTGATTAGCTAGGGATGTCTGTATGTGC